TAGTTTCTATTTTTACTCTCTTAGAAGCCAGTCATCCTGTAAAAAAGCCTGGGCTACTCTGCAGAGTAATGAGACCACATGCAGAGTGTGTCCTGGTGAAGTAGACACAAGGTGCTTTGGACAACAGCTGGTACCAAGGTCTGGGACGTGTGAATGGGGTCATCTTGGATGCTCAGGCAAGTTGATCTGCAGCAATTACCACATGAAGCAGAGAAGGGCAATCCCTAGCAGCCCCTGCCTGAATCAAGAACAATCCAATAGTTGTTGTTTCAAGCCATTGGGTTTTGGATTCACTGTTACACAGGAATAGATAACCACAGCATTTATTATAGTACTTACTGTTAAATACTATAATTGCTTGCCTTTCTTTCCTACTTAGACTCTGAGCTATTTATAAATGGAGGGAGAATATTTTCATCTTAATGGCTGCAGCACGTGACACACAAGAATGTTCTTAAAATGATGAGCCCACGAAAACATGGGGATTCCTTGAGGAGCTCTTGCAGAAACCTTGCCACATTGTGGATTGTTTTAAGGAAACAGGAGCCAAGAAACCAAGGCATTAGAAAATGAATACCAAAGACAAGAGTAGGATGAAGATTCAGAGCAGTTGAAAGGGATTTCTAAAACTTTTAGTTTACGAGTTCTCCTAGTAATTGGCGAGAATATTGACCTCTATTTCAATTAGGGGGTAGCGTAGGTGAGCCCCACAGACCCTGGTACTTACCATGGCTGTCAGGCAGCTACCACTGTTTGCAATTAAACTTTTAATCAGTCACGGCTCTTATTCTCTAGAATAAGTTTATACTACAGCAGGAGTAGCTTCAGGATATTGCAGGCTTCAAGAGGATATAGAAAGGTGGGGAGAACGGAAGTTCAGCTTAAAAGGTTCTAAAACTGGAAATGATTTCCATAGTAATGCGGCTTAATCCTTTCTCTTCTTCCAGCATCTGCTGAGCACCACCTCAGCTACAGCACTGCCTCTCACTGTCTGCGACGAAGGCTCACTGAATTGAGAAACATTTCGCAAGTCATATGACCTGTTGTGCCTCACAGCTTCCTGGAATGCTTTGTGACCTTTCTTATGCCCTTTACTAGCAACTCCTACATTCATCTCCGGAGTTCTTTTCCTGTCTTTTCCTCTTTGGCCCCCAGGAATAAGTTCCCTATTTTATCTGCAATTATAATGTCTCAAGGTTCAATTTGAGTCTTCCCTGCTCTGAGAAGCTGTCACCGACCACCCCAACCTGTGACTTCCTAGAACGCGCTGAAAAAGGAACTGGCTTTGAAGCAACATGGATTTGGGTTCAAATCCTGGCCACGCTGATTGTAATTCTTCGGAAGTTCCTTAGTGATTTTTCTTTCCCCATCTGTATAATGGACAGTGTACTACTACTTCATGGGGTTGTTTTGAAGGTACAGGAGATACCTACCTAAAGTGCTTAGCCCTTCCTGATATGTAGCAGAACATTGATATTTATTATTATTTTTGCTCTTCTCCAACTTCCAGTACTAATATCTATACCACTCATTTGTCCTCAAGTTATGTCTGCTTTATGGCAGCTGTTGTGCTTGCACTAGCATTTAACTTTGATGTGATTTTTTAAATGTTGATATAAGCCTTCTCCTAACAGATAAGTTGTAAACTTCTTATTTATCTTTATATGTCCTAAGAATAACAGATGCTTAATAAATATTGGTGAAAAAAAAAAAGCAACCATGTGTTAGAGCTCATTACCTATACATGGTTTTACAGCATGCAGGTCAAGAACTCAATAAACCTTGAATTAGAGTAACTCTAATCCTCAAACGTTTTTGTTTTCCAGGAAAGGGATGATTAGGAAAACTTTACAATTTTTTTTTCATCCTGCAGGTTTCGTTTAAGAGAAGAAAATGCAGACCCTATCCTCTTAAGAAACTACTTATGGGAAAATGCAATGGAGACACAAAGTCTACCTTTCTGGGTTTTGGTTTTCCTAATAAAAGTTTATGACCAGGTAGAAAATAATTGCTGGGAATTAAAAAGCAATTATGTGGATAATAGTTGCAAAGTAATTATATAGAATTAAGTAAGGAATAGGAAATTTCTATTCATTAGGAAAAATTTTGATTCAATAAAAATTACAAGAAATATTAATTTTATAGATTAAGACAGTCAGCACCCATCTGTCTGTAGTGTGGATATGCTCATGAGGAGGGAGAACAAATCCTCTAATACAATAGTCTTCTGTTAGAAGTAAAAGGTAGGAGGCCATATTGGGAATAAACAAGTAAATGGACTTAATCAGTGATGAAAACTAGTTTTTGTGCATTCTCAGAACATACGAGGTTTAAAGAAAAAGAAAAAAAAAAAAAACAGAAAAAATAGTCAAGCTCCATAAAATCTCCAGAAAGGAACTCTAGAAGGTTGCTAGAATGGAAAGGCTCTGGTCCTTGCCAGCTTTGAGACTGGGGCAGCAAACCTGCATGCTGGAGCAGGGATGGCAGCCTATGCTGGACCAGAGGGAAAGAGGACTCCTGAGCACTGCCTAATAGTAATTTTCATATTGTTTGTTATGCCAGGGAACTCTTTGTCAACAGAATCTTGTAGGATCCTCTGATGTATAAAAGAGATAACGGTGTTGCTGTGTGGCTGCAAATAAGTGGGAAGAGAAAGGGTGGGAGGATCATTGGAGGGGCTGGTAGGATCTTAGATGCTGCAGCAGAGGACCTTAGGCCAGGCAGAACGTGTTTGGGAGACCAGCAGCCTAGGATTCTGTAAGCCTTTGCAGACTGCTTCTATCCACAGGCAAGGCTTTTGGTCTAGACCTAGTTTGTTAAAGGGCCCCAAGGATCAAAACTAGTGGCAAAGGAACATGAGAGTAAAGACAACTTTGCCGGGCGTGGTGGCTCACGCCTGTAATCCCAGCACTTTGGGAGGCCGAGGCGGGCGGATCACCATGGTCAGGAGATCGAGACCACGGTGAAACCCCATCTCTACTAAAAATACAAAAAATTAGCCGGGCGCGGTGGCGGGCGCCTGTAGTCCCAGCTACTGGGGAGGCTGAGGCAGGAGAATGGTGGGAACCTGGGAGGCAGAGCTTGCAGTGAGCAGAGATCGCGCCACTGCACTCCAGCCTGGGTGACAGAGCAAGACTCCGTCTCAAAAAAAAAAAAAAAAAAAAAAAAAAAAAAGACAACTTTGTTCCCATCATGGAGGGGACGATAAGCTCTCATTTGCTCTATTACACTATGATCTCAGCCGGGGTTTTTTTGTTTGTTTTCCTGAAAAATATTTTTCAAGCCATAATTGAGGCTCTCAATGAAAGCCAATTGTAGCTTAGTGACACCTAAATGTGTCTGAGACAAGAGGCTCTGGATAGCCCTTCAGGAAGGCAACAGCAGCCCTGATGTTTTCGACTATTCTTAGGGAAGCCTCAGTGTCCAAGGATATTTACAGTCTTGCAGCTGCACTTCATAATGAACCTTTAGAATCCTGGATTTTATCCTCACTTAGGAGTGGTTTTAACTGTCTAAGTTTCTAATTTCATACCTCGAATGTGATTATAAAACCAAGATAAAATAAATAAAAGGAAGAAAAGTTACGAAGGAATCTCTTCCCAGATGAGATCCCTCAGGGTCAGAATGATCAAAAGGGTAAGTAGGTGAATAGCCTGTGAGTTACAGGCATTCCAGAGGCAAGGATCATCTTGAGTAGTGGCCTGAATTGATATTTAGCGATGCATAAGTGGTCGATATTACTGCAATTTCCTTCACACAACTGACAGGAGCTGAGCACCTTCTCTTCATGTTGCTCCAGTTTTCAGATCCTCAGCTGGGACAGGTCAGTTTTGAGGTTTCAGATAGACATATCCCAGGATTGGACAGTGCCTTTTGTTAAGAGGGGAATGCTTTTGGGGACCACAGCCTGTTTACACACAACTCAGGCTCCAGAGCTCCTTTAGCCTCTTCAACTGCACACATGAATGTAATTCACTGAGTGGAGGATTGGCCCCAGCCAGACCCACCTGGCCTGTGATCTTAGAACAATCTGCCTTTCCTGTGGGTGGATACTTGCTCTCCGGATGATCAAATGATGGAAGATTGCATGGGACTCCCTGTGCCACTTCTCTTTCCCAATAGGAGGCTACCTGTTTGACTGCTTGGGCTTGCTCCTGGGGCAGTTGAGCTCACCCCCTGCTGCTCAGAGCAGAGTGACACGGGGTGTCCTGTGGGGAGTGGGGAACTGCCTTGCATAAGGACTTCACAGACCCAGGCTCTCTCTTAAAATAAGCTGACAACTTTCCTTGAGTTCCTCCTGCCTAGTATACTCTGCAACCATCCTGGTGCAATAAGAGAAAAAAAAAAAAAGGGCCAAGTTACAAGTTTGTTTTAAAGATGCTGTTCTGTTTTCTGAGTGCAGCATGTCACAATGAGCCATGCTTTCTGAAGTGTTTGGAAAAGAATGTCTGTGACGTCACATTTCAAAGAAATACTGTAGCCTCAAATCAAGTAGTGAGCTATAACAATGCTCCACTAAACACCAATAACAACTCGCCTTTCAAAGAGAGATGCATTTCTCATGGACCTGGGAAGAATGCCATCTCCACCACATAATGTCAGCAAAATGTACTTTCACTTCCTCTTTTTCTTCTGAAGCATGATAGTTGTAGCAGGTCTCTTGGACTAAAACATATGCAAAGAGTTGGAGCCTTCATAATTCTTCCCTCCCCACAAAATGCTTGAGACAAAAGTCTAGTAGGTACATTTGTATTTTAGGGAGCCTAAAGCTGTGTGAGTGTCTGTGTGTATCCTCTTTTGCATTCAGAAGACATTTTCTCCTTAATCCACACCTAAACTTTTTGGTAGCCAAGCACTTTCTATTAAAGGAATCAACAGTCAAAACACATAAAAACACTTCATAAGATGAACTTTAAGTTAGGACAGTCCCAAATATCTTCACAGAGAAATATTGAAATGTTCAGGTAATTCAGAGAAGAGTAGGGGAGAGTGCCTCTTACCTGGGCTTCTTTCACTATTCCATTCTTTGTGCAGTTTCTGCTTTGCAAGCCATTGCTCTGTTTCTTGTGATTGTGAAGTTTCCCATTGCAAACAGTACCACCTCCAGGGTTAGCCATGGGTGTGAAGTGACAGAGCCCGGGACAGGTTTTCCTTCAGAGGTCTCTGCAAGCTTTAGTTTTTAGTCTGTAAGGGGATGGGATAAAGCTCTTTGGGGCTGAGCCCTTAAAGGAATCTTACCAATCAGGCTTTTCCAGAAGAAGAGCAACAGCCTATCATTTTGCCAGATCGTTGAAACTAAAACAAACGGTTACCTTTATACTTCTCAACTCCAGTCAAAATGTGAACTCCATGGCAACAAACCTGCTTCCAAAACTATAAAGCAGATTGTCCATGCTGGCTCCTTCTGGGGACTGAGGGAACCTGGGGACTGAACAACCCAGTGGCAAAGTGTGAGGAGGCGGGCTGGGAGGTGGAGAGTCTTTTAAAGACACACACACACAGCACACTCACAGAGTCTTCTAAGTACACTGAGTTCTGAGTTAACCTCTTTTTCCCACCCCCTCTCTCCTGCATGTAATTGTGGTTTTTGGTTGTAAACCAAGCTCAAAAGTTAATATTTCTTTTTGCTATAAAATAACATTCAGAGGTGGTTGCCAGGGGCTGGAGGGATGAGGGAAAGGGAAGTTATTGTTTAATGAGTGCAGAGTTTCAGTTGGAGCAGATGAAAAAGGTATAGTGATGGATCACTGCACAACAAGGTGAATGTACTTAATGCCACTAAACTGTACACTTAAAAATGATTAAAATGGTAAGTTTCATATGATATATACATTTCCATAATTTACAAATGATTTGAAAAGGTTTTTTAAAAGCCAGGATTCAAAACCCACCTATGTTAAAATCAGTACTATAATAAGGGGGTACCGACCCATCAAGAATTCCAGTAAGACAGATGTTGGGAGACAGAATATTGGGTGACTGCATTGTCTTTACCTTGTGACCTTGGGGGAGGCATTTACTCACTTTATGCCTCAGTTTTTCCACCTATAAAATATCTGCTGAGGTGGAACGAAAATTATGACGTAGCTCAGGTTTGCTACCAATGCAGGTGTGAGGTGGTTGGTGACTGCTGGGTCCCAGTCCTGAAACACATCTGGTTTACTCATTAACTCGTATTCCCTCAGTGCATGAATCTTCAAAGCTCTTTCTTCCTAACATCATCAAATCATGGTGACATGATTTGCTGGAGAGTCATTACAACCTGCTGAGTCTTCCCAAGCCCACCCTTGTGGTTTTCCTGAGTCAAGACTTCTTTAGCATCAGACTCTAAGAAAAGAAACCAATTTGGCTGGGTGCGGTGGCTCACACCTGTAATCCTAGCACTTTGGGAGGCCAAGGTGGGCAGATCATAAGGTCAGGAGATCGAGACCATCCTGGCTAACATGGTGAAACCCAGTCTCGCCTAAAAATACAAAAAAATTAGCCAGGTGTGGTGGTGAGTGCCTGTAGTCCCAGCTACTCGGGAGGCTGAGGCAGGAGAATGGCATGAACCTGGGAGGCAGAGTTTGCAGTGAGCCGAGATCGTGCCACTGCACTCCAGCCTGGGTGACAGAGTGATACTCTGTCTAAAAAAAGAAAAAAAAGAAACCAATTTATTGGTGCAGTAGACAAAAACAAACAATCAAACACACATACACAAACAAAAAAACAGAAATGGCCCCTGTTTCCAGAGCCTCATGTCCTGTATCTCAGCTCCCTTGGACAGGGTTCAGTTCTACTCCAGAATAATGTGGCTTTTGGAGGTGGACATGCTAATGCTTCTAACCACGATTTGCATACGAGGGTACCTGCCTTTCCCATCCCAAGGAATGCTAGAGGAATAAGATAAGGCCTGAGGCCAAGGGAAGAGACGGAGTTAATACCAAGTGTGTTCAGCCCGGTTTGTGTCTCAAGTTCAAACATTTGATCGCATTTCTCTCAACCTTTACCATCAAAGTAGAAGTAGATTTTTACTGGTCTCTCCCTTCCGTGGCTGTTTCACTGGATTCGGGGGCTAAACTCTTGTAGGTTTATTTTCTTCTAAGATTTAGAAAATGGAGAGATGAAGAGGTAGAGGGGAGCACGATTGTTGGCCCAACTGTCTCACATTACTTAGAAAGACAAGTCGAAGAGAGGGCATTGTTTTCCCTGAGCTCTATTGCCCTGTGCAAAGCATTTTTTAAATAATAAACTTTTTAATGTTAGATGTCTCTTTTCTTTCTTTTCTTCTTCTCTATCTCTTTCCTCTTTTCATGTTTCTCCTTTTCGCTTTCCTCCTCCACCCTCCTCTTCTTTTTCTCCTTCTTTTTCAAGTTTTCTTTTTATAAGGGACGAAAGGCCTATATAAAATAAATCTCAAACAGCTGAATTCTGCCTTCTCATTTTCCTTCCCCTAATTGCAATTGCTAAGGTTAGGTAATCACACATAGATTTCTGAGAAATATCTACTACGTGCTCTCACTCTTGAAACTTTTCTATTTTACTTAACCATATTGGAATGTGTGCATTGTTGTGTACACAAAATTATGTTAACACACCAACCATTTGGCATCAGGCACTGCTGGTATGTATAGTCAGTGGTGACTTGTTGCTTCATACCATCTCCACTTAAAATAAGACAGGAGTTCTGTTGGAGTGAGTGGTAGGTTTAGGTTTAAGGTTTGGATCAATACTAAAACACAGACTTAATATTGAGCAAGATTTGGCATCTCTGAACAACTAAATACATTTTGGATCAACTAGTAACCTCAACAAATGTTTGAATAAGTACTATGTATTTGCTGAGTCCTTGGATATCACAAGGAATAAAACATACCTAGTCTCTACCTTCATAGAACTAAGACTTAACTGTACCCACATGCCTTTGACTTAGGATATCTTACTATTAAAGGTAAAAATAAATCTTCATGTTAGTACATTAAAGGCAAAGATAAAATTAGCAATGGCCTTGTGGTGTTCTCCAAAGTAATGGTTTTGCCCCGATGCCAGATTATCAGCTCCTCTCTTAATGAAGCAGCCGAAAAGGGAGATAACAGAATGAGGATAGGCAAGAAAGGGAAGGTCAGAGGCTTGGCAATGTGTTGTGGAAAGCTCTTGGAACAACTTGGGGATAGAAAGTTGGCAAAAATGGGAGGATATGAGCAGAATAAACTGTCAGAATTGTACAGTGCACAGAAATCTGTTCATTCTCAGTGACTCAATTTTTACCCATGTAATGGAGAGTGATGCTCATGCAAAACTAAATTTTCAACAGGTTAAGTGACTTTTCCAAAGCCACAGAATAACATGTGGTAGAAGTGAGTCATGAACTCAAGAATGTCTGGGTCTAAGTGAGTGCCCTTTCCTTATACCATGACACACCTCTCCTTCAGCTGTTGACTTGAGAACCTTCAACCACCAAGAAAAGAAATAACAGAATCTGTTACTATTTGGGAGATTTCATTGGATTGGCCAAATAATGAATAAAAATGCTTTATTTGTCTTTTTGATCTATTACAAATTTGCAATATATTAAATAGGTACAAATAACTAATGACATGTCAATATCTACTAATAAGTCTACATGGAAGCACTTAAATTTCCCAAAGAGTTCAGTCTGGAAAAATCCTCATGGTAGAGACAATTCGTTTCCATAGATTTTCTCACGAGTAGGTTGTAAACACGATGACCTAAGGCGGCCAGCTGCATGTGACCTAATATTAAATTTGAACTGACCAATAAGTCAAGAAAATTATCTGAGAAAACCCAGAAAGTGATCATGTCAATTTATCTGATATTAGGTGGAAATTATAACTCTTAATCAAGATCAAGTTAATTTTAGTTTTCACACTTTTGGGTTTGGCACACTGTTGTGATTGGAAAATCCATGCGTAGTACATATTTAACATCACATACCTTTGCCCTGAAATAGATCATACTGACACAGTCAGACCCTCATTCATATCCTTTTGACTTAGCTTGGAGGTCCCTGATACACGGTGTCAGCTGTTTTCTGCGTTTCTATGCCCAGGTAGGTTCTCTGACCACGGGGTATTCTCCGCTCCTGCAGTGTGGGCCAGGTGTGCTGGGAAATTCACATCCTTGAGAGCAACTCTCAGCCAACAAGGGATATAAGTTGGTGGATAAACACCCCATGTTATTTTCTTCTTTATGGGACAATTCTGAGGCATGTTCACAGCCTCTGGAGAGTTCCCAGTGGGACTGGGGCTCTATTGCCCTCAGTAGTAACCCTCTTATAAAAACACCCATTATTAGGTTTTTCTCCCTTCCAGGTTTTACTTATCCATGATTCCGGAAAATACCTCCCCATGAACTACTTGCACCTAAATCCTTGTCTCAGAGTCTGTTTGTGGGAATGCACATCAGGGCAACCAAGTCCATATTAGCCCATCAGATTTTATTGATCAGAGATCAAATTGGATCTTTCGAATGATCAATATTAGACTGTTCTGAAGATTGAGAGAGACATCATATAGAAAAACTTAATGCATTCATTTGGGTAAAACCTCATAAATTCTAGAGAGAGATGGAAAATCTGTATTCTTATGTCTCCCATAGGAAAGATTCATGGGATTTATGTAAGAAGACGGTGTCTACAATTTAGTTGTGGAAGAAAAGTTGTTAATTTTGAGTTATAATATAATAAAAACACTACATATTTTGGATGAGAAACAGGCTCTAGAAAGTCTTTTAGAATGTGCTTTATCTGTAGAAAAATTAAAACTAGCTTATTCTTTACTGAATGCTTTGATACAAAGAACCCTTTTATGTTTCTAGCTAGCAAGGGATGATAAATGGAAATTAAATGCTTAGCATTCTTATTCATTTTCTATTGCTACTGTAAGAGAGTATCACAAACTTAGTGGCTGAAACAGCACAAATGTATCATATTAGAGTTCTACAGATCAGGAGTCTGACATGGGTCTCACTAGGCTAAAATCAAGGTGTCAGCAGGGCTGCATTTCTCTTTGAAGGCTGTAGGGGAGAATCTCTTTCCTTAGCTTTTCCAGATGCTAGAGGTGTCCACGTTCCTTTATTAATGCCCTCTTCCTCCATTTTTCAAAGCCAGCAATGCTAAATCTCTGTGACCTTTCTTCCATCATACACCTCTGTACGTGTATGGGACTACGGCCACGAAATGTTCTCTGATTTTAAGAAATCATATGATAGATTGTGACCATCCTGAAATCCAGGATAATTTTGGAATAACTTCAATTACATCTATAAAGTATCTTTTAAAAGTAATTAATTTAAGTTGTCAAATAAAAATTGTATACATTAATGCTGCACAGCAAGAGGGGTTTTGATACATGGATACATTGTGGAATGGCCAAATCATGCTAATTAACATATGCATTACCTCTCCAAAATTATTTTTTGTGTGGTGAAAACACTTAAAATTCACCCTTTTAGCAATTTTCAAGTATACGATATATTGTTATGAATTATAGTCATCATG